CCAAAGCTGAAACACCCCCCCCCCACTCAAGGGTCCACGGGGGACAGCTCAGAGCGGCCAGACTTGAGATGCCTGGGCGGTGATGGGAGGCCACGGTCTGGCTCCAGCCTGGCCCAGGCGTGCAGCACAGGGGTGCCAGCCATGGCCAAGCCTGGGTCCGCCCCACTCCTTGCAGCCCTTCTAGGAACCAGTCTGATGCCACGGCTGGTCCTTCTCAGAGCTGGCAGGGTCTGCCATCTCTCCCCACACCTCAGTTTCCCTTCTGCACCGTGAGCACTGGGCCACCCCATGGTCAGTGTCAGCGGGGCATTCCGGGGCTGCCCGGCCTCTCCCCGTCTCGTGACCCCCATGGGAACTCAGTTCTCCGCAGGGCCCCCCACCTCAAGCCTGGAAGGAGGGGGGCCTAGGGGCTGGGCCTTCAGAGTGGGGACGGCAGGCCGGGGAGGGTGACCCCAGCCCCAGGTCAGGGCCCAGCTTCCTCTTTCTTGTTTGTTTTTGAAGGAAGAGTTCAGCCTATCACCAAACAGGAAACACGCGCCCCAGTCCCCACCCCGCAGCTCCCAGCCCCTCCCTGGCAGGGTGGCCCCGCACACTGCCTTCCACCGTGAATGACTCACTGGTCCCCAGCCTCCCAGCAGCCCTTGCCCTGGTGCTGGCCCGCGGGACAGTGCTGCGCGGACACCCTCGGAGCTCACACCTCCAGCAGGGCCTGCCACCACAGCCATGTGGGCACCTGGATCTAGGGGCCACAAGGCCTGAGGGGCACACGTGGCACAAAGGTCCTGCTGCCCTTCGTGCCCACCATCGATGACTGACAGGCCCCCAGCGTCTGCTCCCAGGTCCAACAGGCCGCCCGTAGTCCTGCCTGGAGGCACTCAGCAAAGCCACCACCTCCTCAGGAAGGGACTGGGCAGAGCGGCTGCACCCTCTACCCCACGAGGGGACCCCAGGCCTGAAGGGACTGGGCAGAGCAGCTGCACCCTCTACCCCACGAGGGGACCCCAGGCCTGACCCCATGGCAAGAGGCCAGAGGAGAGCCAGGCAGCATGGGGATGGTGCTCACTGTGCGTGTGGGCACACCATGGCCCCCCGAGGTGCCAGCTACCAGCCTCTCGGGTGAAGGGCAGACACAGACACAGTGAGTCCCACGGCCCCAGGAGCCCTCTGCTGGGGGTGGCGGGTACAGGGGTCCCAGGGCTTGGAGCCACGGGTCGAGGAAGGAAGGGCCGCGCTGAGCCGGAGGCCGGCCCACGTGGGCGCCGTGAGGGAGGACTCTCTGCCTAAGTTCCAGACCAAACCCACTGCCACGAGGTTCGCTCTGACTCAGCTGAAGGACGGAGTAGAACTGCGCCACGGAGTTTCCAAGGCCGTGAATCTTGCAGAAGCGGACTGCCTTATCTTCCTCCCTCAGAGCAGGTGCTGGGTCTGAACCACCAACTTTCTGGTCAGCAGCTGGGTACTTTAACCACTGCGCTACCAGGGCTCCTGACCGTTAAGTTTCATGGAGGCACAGACCCACACACACACAGGGGACACCCACTGATGACCACCTCCCCTTTCCCATGGGCATGTCTGTGCCCTGTGCAGACCACAGCAGGGGCCCGTCCTCTCATATTTGTCTCCATGCCAACCAGCCCCTCCCCTAGCCACATCCTAACCTACAAGGGCAAGGAGTGAGGGGCAACATGGGGACCCTCGAGGCTCCGTGGGGGATGGAGCTGGGGCTGGACAAAGCCACGGCTTCTCTGTCCCCACTGCCATGACAGGGGAGAGGGTGGAGCTTCGAGCCACTGGGGCCGGACCCTCCCGGGTATGCTCTGCCCAGCCCAGTGGGACCTTCATTTGTCCGGCCACCCCCCCGGGGTCTCGTTGGCCCCTCAACACCATCCGTCTGCTCATCTGTCCCTGGTCCTCCAGCATCTGAGGGCCGTCTCATGCCGACCCAGGGCCTTGCCCTTCAGGTCCCTACACCGGCCCTCTGCTTTCCCTGGGAACGGTTCTGGAGGAAGGCTCGCTGTTAGAGGGGTCAGGTGAGCCGTCTTGGACCAGGTGGCACTGAGGCAGAACCTTCTGGAATACCACATGGGACAGGAAGCACAGTGTGGCTGCCCGCCTGGCCAGGCTCTCCATGCCCCAGCTGCCAGGCACGGAAGCTGGGAGCAGGAACGAGGAAAGTCTGTAAACACTGCTGAACGCCCTGACTGCCGAGTAGGTTCAGACACTCAGGTGTGTGCAGGTGAACTCAGGTGCACGGAAACCTCCCGCCTGCACACTTCCTCAGGCTTGACACCAGGCCTCCGCAAAGCCACAACAGAACCCTGACACTCCCTGCACTCACCCCAAGAAGAAAACAAGGGGTCCTCCCCAGGCCCACATCTCAGGAAGTGTTAGTGACATCTAGCCCCGCCCCAAATCAGGGGCATTCTCATTCCTCCCCACGAAGGGCCCCCACAGCTGACGGCTGCCCCAGCCCTGACAGGCACCACACCCTGGCTCCTCACTAAATTACTGCGCCCCCCTGTCAGGACAGCCCCCTGCTCTCTCTGCTGCGTCCGAGGGTCCCCAAGAGGAGCACACAGGAGGGATTCCAGGATTCGGACAGACAGACAGATGGAACAGTGAAGAACCACAGTGGCGGGAGCGCACAGGGAGGGCCTATCCCCTCAGAGATGGTCAGTGCTACTGGCCACTCTGGCCACCTGGGCCTTGCTCAGTGCTGCCCCTCCCTGTGGACCAGCATGGCCTACCAGGGCCCACCTCCTGACACGAGGCTGCTGAGCCCAGTGCACCCCAACTCAGGACACTCCACAAACCGTATCTCCCCCCCCAGGAGGCCATTCTGCCAGGGAAACAGGTCCAAGGGGCACAACCGACCTGCCCTGGGAAGGAACACAGGGACAGTGCTGCAGAACCAGGGCCCACAAGGTAGCTCTCTGGACACTGGAGACTCAGTGTGCCAGCTGGAGTCACCTGGCTCTAGAGGGGACCCTCCTGCTGAGCCAACTGGATGCCTGTGTGCCCCTTCCTGGGCCCCTGGGCAATCCTGAGGCCCAGCTTCTCCTGAGTCAGCCCTAGATCTAACAGTCAATCAACAAACATCTGCCAATGACCAAGAGGTGCAGCCTCCAGGCAGCAGACTGTGCCAGAGAAGAACAGGGGCAGGGATGGGGCTGTGAAGTGAGCCAGAGGGACCAGCACTGGGGAAAGAGTTGAGGAGGCAGGTAGGTGCGCGGGGAAGCCAGGCACAGGGGCGCCCCCAGACCACAGCCCTGTGCCTCCTCACCTCCATCTCAAAGCCTAGCAGGCCATCCTCCCTGCACTGGCCAAAGCTCTAGGCCCAGCTGACCACACCCTGCTCAAGCCCCTCCCATCTTAGCTCCCGCCACTCCTTCATTGGCTGCCCCAGCTCCTCTGTTCCAGACGCTTTGCTGGAGAGCCTACACCAAAGCCACACCCACTGCTGTTGTGTTAATTC